TCTCTCTCTCTCTCTCTCTGTGTGTGTGTGTGTGTGTGTGTGTATGAGATAACCTTCAAGCTGGCTTGACCAAGAATTTTATGCACTACTACTTCAATGTTAATGATATGAGAATATACTCAAGAAGGTACTTTTCAACAGAAATATACATGAATGGTTACTTACTAGTTAATTGATTAAACTATTGTGGCACAAGGTACCCATAAACCTATCCTAATGTGTTCTCAAGAATCAGTGTTTAGATATTTACTAATTCCATGTTCTAATAAATTTTACAGACTGTAACTAGCATAAATAATGACAATCAACTGTATACTTACCATATAGTAAACATAATGTATAATGGGTACACCCCCAAATCATGTTTGTATTTTCTTCATCTACAGATATTTTAGATACAAAAATATACCTTTCTGCAATACATGTATAAACAAGTGTAGGTTTCCTAAATCTTAGTGAAAAACACATTGGTTAACAACACAAATGAACTGAAGGAAGAACTTGTTTATTTTCCAGTTCTTAAGAATAGGTACTCAAGATGGTTGTTGGTGGTGCATACCTTTAATCCCAGCACTGGAAAGACAGAGTCAGGATGGTCTCTGTGGGTTCAAGGCCAGACTGGTCTACAGAGCTAGTTCCAGCACAGCCAGGGCTGCACAGAGAAAGCATGTCTTAAAAAAATGTAAAAAAAAGAATAGGGACTAGAAAACACTTAAGATATAGTTTTTCCTATACTTGACACCAAACATTTGTAGGAATGTACTCTGTAGGCATGGTGATTCATACATTTTGTTTCTAATATGACGTAATGAAGTATACACCAGTTGCTAATCCACACAGAACTAATTATATATAGCATGGATAATACATCCCGATCCCTGTATAAAAAGACAAGAAACCCCTTCATACAGATTGTGTTTAATGCATGCAGCAAGAAAAGGAGTATAAGACTGTGTTGATCATACGACACCATCCATGTAATGAGGGGAAAAGTTTATATATTTAATCAAAGTCTCTGAGTACAGTGATAAAGCATAAGGAAGGTTTCTGACTGTTTTTAACCTCTTGTGTTGTCAATCATCTTTTCTTTCTGGTAATAAATAACTTCTCAAGATAAGTCAAACGTGGCCAGTATCTCTGAGGTACCTGGAACATACCTTACATACATGGTTCACCAAACATGAACTCTACTAGCTTTTTCCATGGACCTGCCCCTCTGTGAAGCCAACTTATACCATTCTTGCTTCAAGTCATAGCATGATTGTTTTCTGTTTATTGAGTATCTGTTATATTCAGGGCACTGTTTGGCACATTATAAAAATTTAAGGACAAATTCTAAGGTATGTTTTTTCCTTTCTTAGGCCATATAACCTAGACATGCAGAAGGATATCAAAATCCTAGTGTCTATAATTTAATGCTTTTATTCATTTCAAATATAAACAAATCGTATGGAACTCACTGGTTTTAAATTTTTTCCGTCATAAATTTACCAGCTTAAATTAAAAACTCTCCCTGAGGTCAGAGTTTTGTGTTTTTTTTTTCTCCATTTTGTGTCCAGTATTTACCTAGTTCAGTGGTTGAGAGCCACAGTGGTTCACAGACACCAGTGATGGAAAGGCTGGTTTGGCATGGCTTTTCTCATTTCTAAATTATATATTGTTAAAGTCAAATAAATGGCACCTTTTCTCCCTGTGCAGGTGATCATTTCAACTGAAGCATTTGTCAACAGTGGCTGTAGAGAGTCCCATCACATCTGCTATTCAATCATGGACCAAACTCAGCATTCTAAAAAAACAGCAGAGGTCCAACCTTCCAAACCAAAGAAGACAAGGCATTGTGATGGCTTCAAGGTAGGATGAGTGCCATAGCACCAAACAAAGATAGGTCCAGAGGGAATTTTTACTTACAAAAAAGAAACATATAATTCAAAAGAATATTATGTCTCAAATTATAATTCTCATTGAAGTATAAAACTTTAACAACATGATCTTGATTTAAGTGTTTTAAATTTGGGTAAGGTTTTCCTTTGGTGATATTTTTATATTAAATATTTTTGATTAATTTATTCTTTACATTCCAATCCCATTTCCCACTCCCTCCTCTGCTCCCACTCCCCCATCTCCCCCCACCTTCCATCTGTTCCTCAGAGAAGGTAAGATGCCCCTAGGAAGTCTACTAAGTATACCCCATCATCTCTCTGAGGCAGGACCAGGGCACCTCTCCACCCCCCACACCCCTGTGTCTAGGCTGAGTAAGGTGTCTCTCCATATAGAATGGGCTCTACTAAGTCAGTTTGTGCATTAGTGTTAGATCTTGGACCCATTACCAGTCACCCCATATATTGTCCCAGTAGGACTTTGGTGATAATTTTGATGTTTGCATATTTATTAATATTGGAAAGTTAGAAATGTTTTGATATCCCCTCTGGTTCTTCCTGGGCCAAGGCATAACTATAAATGTAGTTAAAAGCTGTGTGTGTGTGTGTGATATATCAAATACCCTTATAATGAGCATAAAATCTAGAGGATTAGATCCTATAAGTTATTTTATAATCCCAAATATTATTCTTTCCTTATTATTTTCTCAGTATTTTTTAAAATTCTGGTAACCAAAGAACATAGTCTGATGAGATAGAATTTGCTATTTATAACAGGCTTCTCCAGCATGTAAAGTTCTTGACCTGCCTAAGGTTGATGCCTTAAGTAACTGAATGCAGATAACAGAGCTAATAATTAATGGCAAGAATGTTGAAAAAGAAAAAAAAAAACCAAAAAACAGTCCCTTTAACTTTGTCCAGGGAACATGAAGTCTATTTATTTTCAGTAACTTCTGGCAAAGTCTGTTCTGATGAAATATGTGAATAAGGTTTAAGCTGAAGGAAAGTCTGGAGAAGGTACGGATTAACACACTGCAATGACAATGTATCTTCTGGGTGTTAAACTGTGTTACAGTGGGTGATCTCATTTGCATGTGTATAGTGAAGTGGTACCTCCCACAGAATGTCAGGAAAAGAGGCTAAGAGTCAAGACTTAAATGTTTATGGAAAGCATGTTACCTGTAGCCTAACAAGAAGACAGAAAAAGCAATAGTAATAATGACCAACATTTATTGAACTCTTACTGTATGTCAGGTGCTAGTCTACTGTTTTATTTCTGTAAATAGACTTTTCTTTATTATAATTCTATTAACCCAATATTAGTATCTCCATTTTATAGAAGAGGAAAGAAGCCTTAGGTACACCAAGAGAAAATGGCTTTCCTTACATCTTGTTTACATAGGTTTCCATTGCTGTGATAAAGACCATGACTAAAGCAATTTGAACAGACAGGTTGCCATCTGTCACTGAGGGAAGACAGGGCAGAATTTAACAGGACAGCAACCTGGAGGCATAACTGAAGAGTGCTTTTTAATCAGCCTGCCCAAGGATTGTACCATTCCCAGTTGGCTGGGCAGTCTCTTGTCAATCATCAATCAAGAAAATGTCCTATAGACTTGTTTACAACCAATTTGATAGAAGCATTTTCTCAAGTGAGGTTCCTTTCTTCCCACTCACTCTAACATGCTGAGTTGACCAAATACTCTTCATCCTAGTACTCAAAGCTTGTAGTTGGTTATCTTAGCTACTGTCCTATTACTCCGAAAAGACACCATGATCAAGTCAAGTCTTACAGAACAAAGCATTTAATTGGAAGCTTGCTTCCAGGTTTAGAGTGTTTGTCTGTGATGAGCATTAGTGGGAAACAAGCATGGCACTGCAGCAGAAGCTGTCCTTTTCAGGCAATGGGCTGAGAGAGAGAGGTGGGGAGAAAGAATGAGACAGAGACTAGGCATGGCATGGGTGTTTGAAACTGCAACGACCACTTCTAGTGAGTGTCACCTACTCCAGCCACACCTCCTAATTGTTCCATAGCAGTTTCAGTGACAGGGGACAAAGGGCAAAGCATTAACTCTATGAGGCTATGAGAACCCTTCTCATCTAAACCATCATAGTTGGTAGGAAAGTCTGGCCTGAGGCAATCTTATTGTACACCCCGTCCTCTCAACTCTGTCCCATATAACTAAAGTAACTGCATTTATAACCTGCCGGGTTCTGTGGAAAGTGTAGAATTTGTCACTGGACTATTTACTTTTTTCTCTATGTATTTGAAAAATTATCTTCATTGTAAATCACTCAGCCTGAATCACTCATCAGGTTTTCACACTTTATCAAGCCCATGTACACAACCCACACTCATGACTGGCACCCACAGACCTACTGGGTACAAATGACTAAGAGTGAAGGAGATAATGAAGTCACACTCAATGTGTTTTCATACATGGTGACTCGCTATCAGTCTTTGCATTGAGCTGCCTAGGTTACAGAGAGCTTACCACTTCTCACTTCTGGTCTTTAGATTCTTGTACCTCTATCCTAAATAAACATTCATCAAAAGTACAAAATGATTGAATTATCACCTCAAACCAAAAGAAAACAAAGGTGAAATTTGCCTTTCCTTCCTTTATTCCCAGTTCTATCTCTAGACCAGTGTGAGTGAAGGATGCAAATCGTGTCCTTGTCCTCTCCAGAGCACATGTGCCGCTTTCCTCTTATCAACAACCCCGACTAGGTTAGGACTCCTTTAAAATCTGGTGCATGTGTCTTCACATAAATGATTGTTCACAATTTATAGCTGATATTTATGTTCCTTTTGGGAATTAAACCTTCTGCAAATTTAAGTACTCATATAATGACATAAAAAGTTTGTATCTAAAAATTCTATTTGCTTTTCCACATTATCCATTTACCCAACCACAGCAACCAATAATCCTCCTACTGCAATCTCCACTTTTATACCTTTACAGAATGTCACAGGGATGAATTCAGCCCTATCAGACTGACGGTTGTCACTTAATGGCATGCCTTTAGGTTTTTTGGAACACTTTTTATGATTTCATGGCTCATTTGTTTGTAGTAATTAACAGCACCCTACTGATACCTCCTTTTAGCTATGTGTGTACTAGAAAACATCACAGTTGCTTTCACATTTTAGAAATTATGAATAAAATTGCTATGCACATATGTGTACAGGGTTTTGTGCAGACATAATTTTTTTCTGCCCTTGACCAAATGTCAAATGTGATTGCTGAATTCTATGGTGAGGATGTTAGTTTTGTGAGACACATTTTAGCCGTCTTCTAAATTAGCTGTATTGATCACTGTGGTGTGATACTATACTCAGCAAGACAGGAACAAATGCCCACTTACTCCAGATAGGGAACCAACAAGTCAAAACACAGATACCCATAAAGTCCAACTTGGTGAACCATAAATTTTATTGGCGTTCCTTACAGGAATATGGGTGAGGAGTTATTTTCAGGAGCAGAAATGACTCAAAGAGAGCTATACCAACAAAGCCCACTCCAGCATGCGTGTCAGCTCACAAAAACTGGGAACACAGAACAAACTGTACAGCCTGAAGGCAGCTTAACTGGCTGGAAAGTAAACTTTCCAGGTAGTTCAGTGGGTCTGAGCCTCTTCCACGTTGTTTAGTTGCTCTCTGCTTCTTCCAGGCTGCTCAGCTTATCTGACGGTGCCATTTATATAGCAAAAGCTATTGATCATAATCGAATTTATAATTGCATCTTAAAAGACACCGTCAAATCTCAGAAGACATAGGCTTTCTTCAGAGTCACCTCTGTAAGCAACATCATTTGCACTTTTCACTTAAGTCTGTGGTCCATTCTGAGTCAATTGTTATGAAAAGTATAAAATACAAGTAATGTGGGAAATTACCAATATGGATCCAGGTAAAAACACAAGGGAATTTAATAGGGAAAAGCCTTACTTACAGAGCGACCTAGCCAGCCAGCAGGCAGCAGTAAGTGGAAGATGAAATGAAAACAGGGCCACCACCTAAGCATCCCTCCCTCTTCAACTTTCCCTACTTCACCTTGACCACGCCCTCACAAGCCTGGTCAGACACACCTGTAGCCAGCCCCTAAGCTGGCGTGGCTATGGCATCCCCTACATACAAGTGTCAATTCATTATTTTGAAATTATCTTTTCCCAATTTCTTTTCATTTGCTTATTGGATTCATAGAGTCATCTTGCATATCTGAGATAAATATTCTTTGGTCATCGTGTTTAATTATTTTTGTATACCATTATATTGAATTTGCTAATTATCATTCAAAATTTTTTTTGTGCTACATCTATGAAAGTTCATGGTCTGCCCTTTTTTTTTCTTATAATGACTTTGTAGACTTTAGAAATATGAGTAATGAAGGGCTCATGGGATGAGAGACCAAGTAGTCATGCTGTTTCTATATTTATACAAACTAGAGGGAATTGGTGCAATATTTTCATTAACTATTCAGGTAGCTTGACCAGTGAAATTGTCTGTACCTGGTTCTTTCTATTTGGGAATTTTATTAACTAGTAAATCAACTTTTAAAGAAGATGTAGGCCTGTCAAGATTCCTGCTTTGTCTCACAATCTGTGCAGATTGTGTCTATCAAAGAATATGTGGATGTCACCTACATCACTGAAATTGGAGGCAGAGTTTTCATAGTTGTTCACACTATCTTTTTTAGTCCTTTACATACCCATGCTGTCTGTGGGGAGGGCTCTTCTATTCCCATGCTGTCTATAGTGACAGCCATTCTATGCCCATGTTGTCTGTAGTGATGGCTCTTCTTTCCAATTTTAAATTGTATCCTTACTCTTTCCTTCATAGTCAATCCAGTTAGAATCTTACAAATTGGAATTTCAAAAGAAACTGGCTCTGGCTTTTGTTGGTTTCTTCTATTGATGTCCTGTTTCCCATTTCATCAATTTCTATCTCAGTTTTTGTTCTCCTCTGCTTACTTT